GTCGGGCTGCTTGGTATGCCTGTGCCGCTTTTAGTGTTTAGTCCTCGCTCTACTCGGTCGGCGTGCTAACGTTGGCTTTCGTCTTCTTCGCGAATCTGACGCGTTCTCCCTCCTCCCTTTTCCTCGCTTTCATTCTTTTTCGTTTTCATCCTTTTTATTCTCACCGTCGTTGTCCGTCGCGCTCAGTTTGTTAGGGGTGCGCTTTCGTCTTATCCTCCCGTTCCCGCCCTTCCCCCCTCCCGCCACCGCTACGAGTGACTGGAGGCCGAGTTTCGCGAAGGAGGTTCAAAGTGCCGCTTTCTGGATGCAGTGCGAGGAACGTATAATAGCCTCTAGGTGCTTGCGTGAGACATAATCCCGAGGAGGTGACTTCCGCCGCCATTGCGGAGGGATTTCCGCATGGTGTATACCGGATGTTTACAGTGGACATAGGCGCGGAGTGTTTGGCGATCGCATACCCGCCATCGTTGCGCTTTCGGAACCGGAAATGGTTCGTTCGCCGCGTGAAGCGTTTGGTAGAGTTTGATTTCTCGCCGAGACACCGGAAACGGCATATTTTTCTTCTCAAGTTGGAAAGTGTCATCGTTAATTTATCCATGAACTGCAACGCGCCCACCAGCGAACCGAAACAGATGTAAGGAATTTTGAATTGATCCTTCTACGGCATACGTTAATTAAGAATTAATTAAGCGATCGTCTTAGATGACTTTAGGCGTAACGTAATATTAACTCGTGACTGTCGTCGTGAATAATCAATGATGCATAGTGGGCATTAATTATGCGACGCTTAATTACGTATGTATTTTCTTACGAGATACTCTCCGAACGCACTTGCTCTAGCCACGGAATTTGAAAGAAATTGATCGATGTTTAATTAACGGCTTGCACGTCACGCGTAATTATTCCTTTCCTGGAGAAATTGATGTTTTCCGATTCAGCCGGGCGGCAAGATGCAAGATCGAGGAATATTGCATGACTAATTTTTCTTGGATAATTAATATGTTAATAGTGATTTAATTCGAAATCTCTATTTTGCGAAGGCACGACGATAACATAGCAATTTGGGGGGCATTTGCATTCCCATTGATTTCTTACGTTTCACTGCAAAAGTATAACTTTTTATTTAAGTCTTAAGCAACGAATTAATTATTCATAATGCACAGATATAGGCCACATCTTATTGTACAATTTTTACTTGAAATTTTCATCGCGCACATGCTTATACACACGTTTTATACATCTCGTGCACGGTATTATACGATGGGATTTACGAATTATTTATACATGACTGAACTATCGTGCGATACTCCGAAATATTTACGATGATCACGTAGCTATTGTGTATTATACACCGCTTATGATGGAAAGCAGAATCTTGCTGGGAATTTAACAGAATCTTAGCATGATGTTACGTATTTCCGCGAAAGTATATATTATTAGCTTTCCGCAACCACGAAACATTGTTTCTCTTGCGTCGGATAGGTGGAATCACGTGCGTCAGACTTCGATCTAAAATCATGGCACACGCGAGGGCAACGTCGGGGGGGGGGATAAGAACGCATGTTTCGAGATCTCGTCACGATTTTCTAGATTTTCCGAGATTGTAACTGAACATTGTATATACATAATTATTTATATTTGTTATGTAACTTTTTTTTCTTATTCTTTTATCTTTTTACTTTTTATTATTTTTTATTTGTGCGCAATTAAAAACTTTATGCTAAATCTGTGTATATTCGTGTTATTTATGCACTATTCTTTTGATGAATTATATTACTTTGGAAAAATTTGTTACAAAATATATTATAAATGCTTAAAATAATTATTTTAAGCATAGAATTTTTTTTATAATATCTATTTAAGTATTCTGTGTGAGAAAAGAAAAATAGAGGGTAGATGTAAATATAAAACAAAACAGCTTATTGATACATAGGTATATGATATGATTTATATTATAATTTAGATATAGATTTTAATATATTATATTAAAAAGAATAGTAAACTGGCGTTGTTTGTTATATGTTACAATATTATTATAATAAATTATATTGAATGAGACATGTGGATAGCAACGTTCTCCAAAAGTGCATGCCATTTATAATCGACTTCGATGCACAAGGGGATACTGACGTAACGATGATCGTGATTTCAGGACGATGGCATAATGGATCATGACACAGACGGAGACGGCGCGATCAACTTGTCAACGTCACAGCGACCCTCCGCCGCCACCACCCCTAATGGTGATACTCCCACTTACGGCCAAGATCAACAAGACAACGATCAGGTAAGGAATTAATCATGGAGAACGGCCTCGATTTATTATCTAATATTTATTTTTTATTGTCTCTCTATGTGCACAACATAACCAGCGATAATTGACAAGTGTAAAATAAACACAATATTATCAACACAATAAGTTAATTCTATACTAAATTTATTTTTTCTCCTTTTTTTTTAATGTATTTAATAAAATAAAATTTAATAGTAGAATTGGATGTATATTTAATAGTTAGTATAATAAATCAAAAGTTAAGTATAATTATGAAAAATATGTTTACGTGGAATATAAAAATATGAAATACTTGCGACAGTTTATTCAATCAATCTAATCCAGTCATTGACACGACACTATGACAACATTGAATCAGACAACACTGAAGCGTTATTCTTGGTCTCACGAAGAAAGAGAAAGAGAGCATTATATTTGGAAATTTTCAAAGCAAAAGATATTAGTCACAGAAGTGTGTGAATAGTAATTTGTTTAGAATTTGACAATCAGACTGAATTTGCCTTAATTCAAACAATGAAAGCTTTTATCAAATGGGTGACGAAATATGATAACATTGATCCATATAACATCGCTAAATATAGCCGCAGCTGTTTATACGCGATAAGATTCAAGACGTTAATCCGCGCCAACAATGTAACATCGTAACATTTTTTGCTAGTAACATTGTCAACGTATGTGTGTTTGTATGTGGCATACGGCGCGTGCTAAAAAAAATATTCGAAATAGTATCCTGCAGTAATTTTCCATAAGCAATCCGATGTTGTTTAATCAGATATTAACAAATGCTAATCTTATGCAAAATTTATTAAACAATATATTTATTTATTTCACGTGATATATATATATATATATATATATATGCATATGTTTGCAATATTTCAACATACTGATGTTACATAAGCAAATTAACATTATCTCGAATTATCAAATATCGTTGTGTTTAATTATATTGTTGACACTGTAATGTACAATCTGATATCAACGTTATGTTGGTATATAACATCCGCTTATATTACAAATATCACTGTAGAAGATATCTCTAAAGACGTCACATTGCGCATCTGCTTTATTTAGGCAGAGTAATGACATGAAAAAAATTAATGTGTAAAATTTGCACATACTATTCTGAAAGAGATGTTTTATTTTAAGATGCTATATATATGTATATAAAGGCAATCAATTTTAATCCTATTCTCTCTTAATATGAAATTAATCGTATACGAGACAAATATACTAGTCTAAAATAAAGAGAAATTATAATAAAGTGAATATTACTAATAAGAGAAAATCTCTCTCGGGAGATCTCGCGGATATCATCTGCAACAAGTTGGAGGAAGACAGACTTCGAGCTCTCTGAGCTGTAAGTAGGACCCGATCGTTTTCGAACGGTCATCAAGGAGAGGTAGAGGCAATAAAGTGAAACAGTGACCTCCGCATCCTTTTACGCCCCTCTTTTCGTGCTTTTTCACGCGAAGTTCAAATCGAAAACGGAATTGAACGGTCTTCCGCATCCTGTATCGCGACCTATCGAGAGTAAACCGATAACGGAGCTTTCCGGGATCTTGGAGTTTCCCAGCGATAAGCCAACAGGCGCGACACTTTGACATTTGACACCCGGCTGCCATAAAATCGGACCCCCTGATTTCAAATTCAATTCAAAATCCCGCGTTCGCGGGCGAACGCAATATACCACCCCCGGTAAGCGACGGCGGTGGAAACAAATGTTTTATGGCCCTTAAAGCGGCCTTTTTCATTCGATTTCGTTTCCGCAAAGGGTATAATATACGTTGCTCGCGAACGTATGCGCGTCTGTATGATATACCTTGCGAATATACCAATCTGTGAAAAACTGCTTTGTTTCTTCATCCTTAATCTATAAACAAATTCAAATTTTTACTCCGTTCGTAAAATATAATTCGTCTTTTCCGAATAGCATTCCAAAATGCGCATATCGCGCTATCT